TAACAAGCTTTCATGGTGGTCCTCAGTGTCAGAACTACGGGGGTAAAAGAGAGAATCCCCACTGCATACTTTTCCTCTTGTCCAGATGGGTCTGGTGAAAGGGGATGGGGAATGATGGGGACAGGATTTTAAGATTCAATGTGATTCAGAACTAATTGTGGTTGTCACAATTGTAAATGTAGAAGTGTAACTAAAAGGAGGGAGCAGTTAATCTGTCATTTCAGGAACAGAAGACCCTAGGACCATCAAGAGGGAAGAGCATGAGAGGAGTGAGGGATCCTAGTCAGAAAAGCAGTGACAGAAGAGCAGCAGAAGACTACAGGCCCATGAATTGAAAAAGCAGTGTGCATACGGGCACGAGGGTGGTTTGTAAAACGTGCCCTTTGGACATTTAGATGAATATATATTTTTAATGTTGTATGTGTCCACTGGAGAACCAGTGTGGCGCTGTGGGTTAATGTGCCAGACTGCAAAGCCATTTGAACTGCAAGGTTGGCGGTTCAAGCTCACCAGCTGCTCTTCAGAAACTCTACACAGGGTTGCTATGGGTTGGGATTGACTTGATGGTACTTTACAACAACAGGTGTCCATTAAAAATTTTAAAAAAGGTAAATTCTGTTAACTGATGGTACATGGAAGGGACTATAAGCATTGCAATGATTTGTTGAATGTAAAATTGATGATTTGCCCTGTAAACCTTCACTCAATTCACAATAAAAACTTTTCAAAATTTTTTTACAGGCTTGGAAATTCTATTGTTGTTTCTGAGTGCCATCATAGCAACCCTGTATAGGTTTCCGAGGAGCTGCTGGTGAGTTTGAACAGCCGAACTTGCCATTCAAACTAGATTTGTAGTCAAGCGCTTATCCTATAGCACCACACCAGGACTCCCTATAGAATAATTCTATATTCTGTCCTGTAGGGTTGCTAATGGGTTGGAATCAACTAGAAGATGTAAATTACTGTAATTTTTTTATGTAAATATGAAATGTGTCTTCTAATAATTTTTTTCGACAATGTATGATTCAAAATAAGTGACTGTTTTTAAATGTTGTTTTAAAATAAAATGATATATTTAAAAGAAAAACTAGGGAAGGGAGGTGGGTGGAGGGAAAAAAATTAAGTGACTAGAGTTAACTACTGTTAACTGGTGGTATATAGAGTGGACAGCAATCATTGCAATGACACAAAGTATATAATTTGTTGAATGTGGGACTGATGTTCTGTTCTATAACCCTTCACTCAATTCAGAATAAAAAGTTAAAAAAATATATTAGGGAAGAATACATCTTTGAGAGGTAGGGTTTAATCTTTCAGACATTGAGAAAACATGCTGGCACGCTGTTAAACAAAGAATTGATAATGTTCAAGCCACTGAAAATTATTTTTTATGTTTTCCAACATTGCTGTTGCTTCAATATTGCCATCAAGTTGGTTCTAACTCACAGCAACCTTGTATAGGGTTTCTGAGCTGGTTTAGCTGGTGAGTTTGGACCGGCAACCATGTGGTTTAAACCAGCGTTCAGGTTGAGTGCTTATCCTAAAAACGTAGGAGCTAGTATGGTAAACAGTTTCTATAAATGTGAAAAAGATGAGGATTTTATTTGAACAAAGAATTGTTCTAATTTGCCCAGTGAAATAGGCTTCTTGTTAAGCCTTTGTAGAGTATGGTGCTTTAAGTGGAATCCTGATCCCCATCCACAACTTTGAGATGGGACATTCACACTTCAAAGGACATGCAGACTAACCCAGAATGGCTAGAGGAACAGAAGATACTTCTTGAAAGAAAGACCAGCAAGGGGTAAACAAAGCAGACTATTCACCTGAGAGCCATCAAGGAAGGCAAGAAAAGTTAGCCCTTCAGGGAAAATCCCCTTCCAAGACTGAAACTCAAAGGGAACACTATAAGCTTGCTGGTATAAAACTCAAAGGGAACAACACTATAAGCTTGAGTTGGTCTACTTGTGAGTGGCAGTAGGGTAAATGTAGCAATGAAGACATAGATTGAGTTCAACCATGTTCCACAGACATCCGTCGACCTTGACAATGACGAAAGGCTGGCTGGTCTGAAGTGTAGGGAGTCTTGAGAACTACCAAGCACATGGACACTAATAGCCACAGTGGGCTAGAGCTGAGAGTGAAGTGGTTGGCTGATATGAAGTGGGGGAAGCATATAAGAATGCCCTAACTTGAAGATAGTATCCATTTGATCTAGCTTGGATGGTTTGCGTATCAAAACTCAACAAAAGAAAGATAAAGAAGTTTGATACAGGAAGCAAGTGTACATTATTACAAATTTCCAACAAAGAGGAAGTATTCTTGACATCAAGGATCAAGTCTATCCTCTCAGTATACAGGGTTGATAGGGATGGGCACCTAAGACATTGGCTAGTGGCACTGTGGGTTAATATGCCAGACTGCAAAGCCGTTTTAACTGCAAGGTTGGTGGTTCAAGCTCACCAGCTGCTCCTTGGAAACACTATATAGGGTCACTATGGGTCGGAACTAACTCAATGGCACTTAACAACAACACAAAGCCAAGAAGTGGCTGGCTTACAATCTTTCAAGAGTGTGCTTAGTTTCAGAATGAGGGGGATAAGGTAGAATCCCCATTGAATAGCTTTCTTCTTGTCCAGATGGGTGTGGTGAAAGGGGCTGGGGGGAGAATGGACAATCTTTTGATTCAACCGCAACTGTTATGATAATTATGATTGTCAAAACTGTAAAGGTAGAAGCCATGAAACAAAAAGGGTGGAGTAGTTAATCTTTCATTCCAGGAACATAGGACCCCAAGACCATCAAAAGCAAAGAGCATGAGTGGACCATTGGACCCTACCCAGAAAAGCAGTGGCAGCAGATACAGAAGCAGAAGTAATGGCATAGAGAGAGAGCGCACGAGGGCTCTATATCTATGGAATGAGAAAGGCTATGTGCTGGGAGGCAGGAGGCTAGCTTGTGAAATGTGCTCTTTTGTCATTTAAATGAATATATATTTTCTGTGTGTTTTGTGTACATCAAAAAAAAAAGAAGAAAGAAAAGAGAGAATAGAGGTAAATACTGTTAACCGATGGTGCATGGAGGGGTTTGTAATTATTGCAATGAAACAAAATATGCTTGGTCTGGTGAAAGGAGATGGGGATAAGATTCGTAAGATTCAGTAGTGAATAACTGTTATCATGACTAATCACAATTGTCACACTTGTAAAGGTAGAAGTTTTGTAACAAAAAAAGGGGAGTGGTTAATCTTACAGTCTAGGAACAGAGGACCCTAGGACCATCAAGAAAGAAGCGCACAAGCAGAGTGCAGGACTTTATCCAGAGAAGCAGCAGCGACAGAGATGGAGGCAGAGATGCAGGCATGGAGAGGGGGCACGGCTGAGGACTCTAGATTCATCAACTAAGAAGAGAAGAACTAAGAGCTGGTGGCCAGGAGCAGACTTGCAGAATGTGCCCTTTGGAGATGTAAATTATTATATATGCCTGAGTGTGTTTTTTAAAAAGCTAAAGTGGATAGAGAGAAATACTTTTAACTGATGGTATATGGAGGGGATTATAATCAATGTAATGAAACAAGTTATATGAATTGTTGAATGTGAAACTGATGATGTGCCCTGTAAACTTTCACTCAATCCACAATAAAAACCTTAAAAAAAAAAAAGAAGAAGAAGAAAGAAAAGAGAGAATAGAGGTATAGAGGTATATACTGTATACTGTTAACCGATGGTGCATGGAGGGGTTTGTAATTATTGCAATGAAACAAAATATGCTTGGTTGAATGTAAAACTGATGATCTGCCCGGTAAACTATCACTCAATTCACAATAAAAAGCTGTAAAAAAAAAAAAAAAGGTTTATTCTAATACACTGATATAACTGCTGAAAATGTTAACAAATCACATATAACGGCCACTATCCTAAACCTGGAATCCTGGTGTGGCTCTGTAAGTTAATTCGCCAGACTGCAAAGCCGTTTGAACTACAAGGTCAGTGGTTCAAGCCCACCAGCTGCTCCTTAGAAACCCTCAACAGGATCGCTATGGGTTGGAACCGACTCGATGGCACTTAACAACAACAAATCCTAAACCCATTTTGGAATAAGATGATTATAAATAAATAAGCTTCTAGATTACCAAAAATAATAACCTAAAGTCAGATCACATATACAGCACACAATTCTGAGTGTCATCTTTGGTTGTAGTTGTTGTTAAGTATTATTGAGTAGATTGTGACCCACAGCGACCATGAATGAGGTTTCTAAGAAACAGCTGGTTGGTTTGAACCCTTGATGTTATGGTTTTCTGTCCTATAGCACAAAACACCATCGAATAAATCAGAAGGTCCTAGATAAGAAGATTAAGAGTCTGGAAGCCATTTTTTATGTGGGATACAGTAAGTCTCCACATATTAAAAATTATTTCATATAGAAAAGGCAGTTGCTTCCCATAACTCTGTGGAAATAACAGGTCAAAAACCCACGTCCATTGAGTTGCTTTCAACTTACAATGACTCTCTAGGACAGAGGAGAACAAGGCTGTAAATAAATGTTTATGAAGAAGTAATAGGTAGGCATGCTTTAATTCAATTAAGAGAATTTTCTAGTAATAAAGCTGCTCCTCAACAAGTGGTATGCTCTTTCACTGAATGTATTTAAACTGGACAGTTATCTATCAGACACATTATTAAAGGGACATCTCACTGGGAAAAATAGATAAACCCCTCATAATCTGCAATGAAAGACTGCTTATCAATTCCATACCATTAATATAATTTAGAGTATTTATAAACTGAAACGACTTTAAAATAACTTATTATTTATAAGACATAGTATTAACCTACTTAAGTTAATTTTTACTAGGTTTTAAGATCTAAGCAAAAAAAGAGGAAATTACAAATCACAATGAATATACTTCTTTCCATGTTTTAAGGATGTGCTGAAACAGAGTATCTATAAAACCATAAATAATAGTTTTTTTAAAATAAAAGGTTACTTTCAAAACTTACCAGAATTCTGTTGGATTCCCCACCGTACTCTCATCCTGAATTTCCGGGCACCATTTTGCTGGAGTTTTCTATTTAGTCTTGGGAAATTCTGCTTCTTTCCTTCTTTTCGATTCAATTTGATGATATCATCTATGAGACAAAATACATAATTATTTTCATTTTAACTTAATGATGCAATTACTCTGTCTCATTATCTAATTGGTTGTTGTTGTTAAGTGCTGTCAAGTCGATTCCGACCTATAGTGACCCTGTATAAGGTTTCCAAGGAGCAGCTGGTGAGCTTGAACCATGTAGTTCAAATGACTTTGCAGTCTGACGCATAAGCCCAGTGCCACAACAGGACTCCTTCTAATTGGAAGATTTCCTATATTCCTAACTTCTTTTCTAAGAAGCCCTGGTAGTACAGTGTGTTAAGCTTTGAGAGTTGCTAACACAAGGGTCGATGGTTCAAAACCACTAGCTGCTCCAAAGGGAGAAAAATGAGGTTGTCTGTTCCTGTGATGATTTACAGTTTCAGGAATCCTATATAGTGTACTGTGAATAGGAATTGACGCAAAAGTAGTGGGGTTTGGTTTTTCGATTTCTACTTTGAAAGCATTTCCTGAGGCTAATAATGATAAGCAGAAAAGCTCACATCAGCCATTAGAGCTCTGAAGAAAGGTTTTGTAGGAAAAGTTCAAATCAACAACCCAAAGCTAATCTAACAATTAGTCAAAAATATTCTTTATTACCCATAGTATTTCTTTCCCTCATTAGTAAATGAGCAAAAATCTGCTGACAAAAAAAATTACTTACACTTTCCACAATCACAGATATCCATTTTAAAAAGATGAGTACCCACTGACACAGCCAAAGAGGACCAGAGTGGAGAGAAGCGTTTAGCTGATAAAAAGAGACGGCAAATGCACAAGAACACCCACACTTACAGATAATACCCACTTGACTTGGCTTCAATGACTGGATGATCAGAGCTCAACTAGAAGAAGAAAGAAGAGGAAAAAAAGAGTAATCTGATACAATTTAATGAATTTGACCTACACTTATAGATGTAGTAGCTCAAAAGAGGGAACAAATCTTTACAGCAAGGATCATTCCCACCTCCTCCATACACAGAGTAGATAGGGATGGGCAACTTGGACATTAGCTACCCAAAGTGTGTGTGGGGGTGGGGTGAGGTGGGGGTTAGCTACAAAGGCAAGAAGAGACTGGCTTACAAGTTTTCCAGAGGGAACCTAGATTCAGAGGGCGTGGAGGAAGGTAGAATTGCCACTGAGTAGTATCCAATCTATCTAGGTGGGGCTGATAAAAGGAAACGCAGATGGGTCTCCTGTGATACAATAGTGAATAATTGTTATCAGGACTGATTGTGAGGGTTGGAAATGTAAAGGTAGACATTTTATAACTTTGCAGTCTAGAAATGGAGGTCCCTGGGACCATCAAGGGAAAAGAGCGGAGAGTGGAATCCTACCCAGAGAAGCAGTGATGCCAGAGATGGGGGCAGAGACAATGACATGGAGAGATGGAGCAGCTGGGAACTTCAGACCCAGAGAGGGAGAGGGGCTGTGTGCTTACAACCAGGGGGAAGGCTTGTTAGGTATACCCTTTGGTTGGCTGATGATGCATAGAGGGGATTGTAACTATGGCAATGAAACGATATACAATAGGATGACTGTAAAACTAATGTTCTCCCATGTAATCTATCATATTATTAACAATAAAACATTAAAAAAAAAGAATGAGTAATTAAAACAAAGAGAAAGATTTTTTTAAAGGAGAAAAATTAGTTATTTCAAGAAAAGATGACTACCTTTCAAACAACCATAGGTGGTTAAATAATAAATCCTTCATTTAAAACACTAAATGTCTAAATTCAACTCAATAAATATATACTGAACACATGCGATGTGCAATGATTATATATGCTAAGTTGTGGTGTAACAGAAACAAACAAATATGATCCCTACTCTCAGTAAACTTCAATGTATTGTTGGAAATAAACATGTTAACAGTTAAATAAAAATTAAAAGTTGCTGTTGTTGTTGTTGTTAGGTGCCATCGAATCGGTACCGACCTTATGCACAGCAGAACTAAACACTGCTGAATCCTGGGCCAACCTCACTGTTGCCACACTTGAGTCCATCAATGCTGCCACTTGGCCAGTCCATCTCATTGGGGGGTCTTCCTCTTTTTCTCTGACCCTCCACCTTACCAAACATGATACCCTTCTCCAGCAACCTGTCCTTCCTGACAATCTATCCGAAATATGAAACATGAAGTTTGGCCATCCTGGCCTCCATGGAGCACTCTGGCTACACTTCTTCCAACACAGATCTGTTGGTTCTTTTGGCAGCCCATGGCACTTTCAATATTCTCCTCCAACACTGTAACTCAAAAGCATCAATTTTTCTATGGTCTTTCTTACTCACTGTCCAGCTTTCATATGCATATGAGGTTATTAAAAATACCATGGCTTTGGGTCAGGCGCACTTTAGTCCTCAAGCTGACATCTTTGCTCTTAATCACTTTAAAAAGGTCTTGTACTCAATGGAAATACACACTCTGATTGGTCACTATGCTCATCGCCAAAAGGGGAAGTGAGGGAGAAGCAGCAATGAGGCGGCAAGCTAAGCCCTACAATGTTCAATAAACTTCTGTGAACCCGGGTGAAGACCTGGTTGGCCAGCAGTGTGGCAAGACCCGGGGACTCTTGGGCCCAGAGTCAGTGACATAGCCACAAAGGACTAGAGTGGAGAGTGAAGCGTCCAGCTGATAAGAGAGGGCATCTGCACAAGAACACCCATACTAGCAGATAATACCCACTAGCAGATAATACCATCTTGGCTTCAATGACTAGATGATCAGAGCTCAACCAGAAGAAAGAAGAGGGAAAAAAGGGTAATCTGATACAATTTGATGAACTTGACCTATACCTATGGATGCAGTAGCTCAAAAGAGGGAACAAATCTTTACAGCAAGGATCATTCCCACCTCCTCCATACACAGAGTAGACAGGGATGGGCAACTTGGACATTAGCTACCCAAAGTGTGGTGGCTACAAAGGCAAGAAGTGACTGGCTTACAAGCTTTCAAGAGGGAACCTAGATTCAGAGGGCATGGAGGAAGGTAGAATCTCCACTGAGTAGTATACAATCTGTCTAGGCTGAGCTGATGAAAAGAAATCCGGATGGATCTTTTGTGATACAATAGTGAATAATTGTTATCAGGACTGCTTGGGACGGTTGGAATTGCAAAGGTAGACGTTTTTTAGCAAGGAAGGGAGCGATTAACCTTTCAGTCTAAGAGCGGAGATCCCTGGGACCATCAAGGGAGAAGAGCGGAGAGAGGGACCCTACCCAGAGAAGCAGTGATGCCTAAGATGGAGGCAGAGATGATGACGTGGAGAGATGGAGCTGTTGGGGAGAGAGGAAGAGGGGCTGTGTGCTGATGACCGGGGGTCAAGCTTATAGTGTATACCCTTTGGATGGTTGATGATGCATGGAGGGGATTGTAACCATAGCAATGAAATGATATACTATAGGATGAATGTAAAACTAATATTCTCCCATGTAAACTATCACATAATTCATAAAACATTTTTTAAAAAAAGGTCTTGTACAGCAGATTGTCTAATGCAATATGCCGTTTGATTTCTTGACTGTTGCTTCCATGAGTGTTGATAGTTGATCCAAGAAGAATGAAGTCCTTAACAACTTCAATCTTTTTTCCTTTGATAAAAATGTTGTTTATTGGTCCAGTGGTGAGGATTTTTGTTTTCTTTACATTGAGATGCAATCCATACTGAACGCTATGCTCTTTGATCTTCATCAGTAAATATTTTAAGTCTTCTTCACTTTCAGCAAGCAAGGTTGTATCTTCTGCATATCTCAGGTTGTTAGTGAGTCTTCCTCCAATCCTGATGTCACGTTTTTCTTCATATAACCTAGCTTCTCAGATGATTTGCTCAGCATACAAGTTGAGTAAGTATGGTGAAAAAATACAACCCTGTCACATGCCTTTCTTAAATTTGAAACCATTCAGTGTTCCCATGCTCTGTTCAAACAACTGCCTCTTGGTCCAAGTCCAGGTTCCTCATGAGCACAATTAAGTGTTCCAGAATACTCATACTTCGCAATGTTGTCCATAGCTTGTCATGATTCACACAATCGAAAGCCTTCACGTAGTCAATAAAGCACAGGTAAACATCTTTCTGATATTCTCTGCTTTCAGCCAAGATCCATCAGTAATACAAGTCGAAGCTTGAATTTTTGTTTCCCTAGCTTGACAAATGCTGAGCATGTGTTCTTTCTTCCTTTTTGGTTTTCTGACTCCAGATCTTTACACATTTTATTGACTGCAAAATGGCTTTATCTTTTCAAGCTGATCTTGAAATTTTCTGTTCAGCTCTTTTACCTCCTCATTGCTTCCATTTGTTTTATTTATTTTTTTGATAGTTGGAATTATTTTATTCATTTATTTGCATATATTACTGTCTTGACTTATTATAGAATTAGAATAGGGGCATTGGGTTTCTTTTACTCTGCCCTGTCCACAGCTGATGCATGTAGTTCTATGCATCTTGCACATAGTATATGCTCTATAGTATTTCTTTCTTTCTTTTTTTTAATGCTTTATTGTGAATTATGTGATAGTTCTCATGGGAGGATATCAGCTTCACACTGATCCCGTCGAACATCTTTTCCTTGGCCATGGTCACAATCCCCTCCATGCATCATTGACCAAGGAAAGGATACGCACCCCCCAAGCCTGCCTCCAATCCCCCGTCGTCCGCACACCGCCCCTCTTCCTCTCCAGGTTCAAAGTCTCCAGCCACTCCATCTCCCCATGCTATTGTCTCTGCCTCCATTCCTGGCATCACTGCTTCTCTGTGTAGGGTTCCGTTCTCTGCTCTTCTCCTTCGATGGTCCCAGGGACCTCTGTTCCTAGACTGTAAGGTTAATCACTCCTCTCTCTTTGCCCCAAAACGTCCACCTTCACATTTCCAGCCCTTACAATCAGTTCTCTCTATAGTATTTCCTTTTTTTTTTTTTTTAATTAAATGTTTTTATTTTGGATTGAGCGAAAGTTTACAGGGCACATCATCAGCTTCACACTCAACCATTC